TTTCCTTTTGGGTTTGCTTGGCTTGTCTGTCGAAACTTCTCTCAAATATTTAATTGGCTGTTGTTATTTTGACAAGAATTCTCACGAATGTGCGAAGCATACATCTTTCTCTCTCTCTCTCTCTCTCTCTCTCTCCTTTGCAATTGAAATTTTTCATGTTTTTTGTAAATTAATTTTGATAAAACCATAAAAATGTTAATGCAAATTGACTTTTTATAACGGGTTTTTTACGATTGTCCGGCTATAAAAAATTGTTTAGAATCGCGGGGCAATTGTTACAATCAGCCACAATTTATGCATGTTACCCCTTTACACACGCACACACACACACACTCGCACACACGGCCATCAAATTTAATGGCATTTAATTTGATTGCATTAGGTGAAAAAGTTAGAGTGGGACAAAAAACCGCCATCGTTTATTTTTCCTGTTGCTTTTCTAATGGTATTCGTTGTTCCACATGTACACACACACACACACACATGTGTAAACAGAAACCAATTTGCTGAAATTTGCCATTTCGTTTCCTTTTGTCCTTCTGTCGCCCATTCAATCCTTTTGATAGACATTCCCGTTCATGTTTATCAAAACCATAAATAATTGTTGAAATTAAATGTGCTTTAAGAACACAATACATATATGTATTTTTTTTAAATATTCCTGACTCAGCCTTCTACAGACTGCAATTTCATATAAGATATTCAAGCAATTGAGTTGATTGTATTTCAAATTGTTTCACATATCTATGTGTGTGTGTGTGCGTGTGTGTGTGTGTATGTTTATATGTTACATGTTGCAAGTTGTCCATTCACTGGCTTTAAGTGTAGTTACCATGAGATATAACTAGCCGCTTTTCATATTTTCTGTGACTCTTGGCACTGCCGATGCTTTTTGGCGTTGAGTCAAGAAGTCTCACAGAAATGTTAGACAGTGACTCAAATATGCCAAGCCAAAGACACTGAAAGAAATAAATATATATGTAAAATATATTATATAAAATAAAGTTTATTTTAGTAAAAATACATAAAAAAATAATAATAATAGAAAAAAATAATAGACAATATATTAAAAATATATATATATATATATATATATATATATATATATA